GCCTTCCCAATCTCTGTAGATCCAACTTTCCCAACACAATTCTTTCTCTCACCTGCCCCTCCACTAAGAAAGTTTCTATCATCTAGATTTCTGCCATTTCCCTCAATCTCTTAATCTTGAAACTTTCCATTATAAATTTGCTAACTTCACTTGTTCTCTTCTAAGCCCCAAATAGTCAGGCTTTTGAACTCACTTCACATCTACATTGCTACAGTAACTGCTATGGATTCTAACCCTGCCCCTTAAAGCCTTTTTAAAAATTGAGGCTACAGCAATCCTGCAGAATGTGGGAAAATCTTGCTCTCTCCTTGCCCAAAGCAAGCCAGGAGCCCACTTCTGGCAGACCGAAGGCTGAAGACCCCAAGTCTTTGGCAAAGTCTGGCCCTGCCGGCATGTGCAGACCACTGAATTTCTAAATTATTCTTTTGTGTCCTTCACTCTACCTGCAGCCTCCTTTTTCTTCCTAATACCACCAGACAACAGTGCTTGAATGTCTAACTTTAACTATTCCCTCTGCTTGGGGGAATCTTTGAATGACAGTCACCTGCTAAAGAGTTTGCTTTATTCGGAGAATTGTTTAATCACACTCTCTCTGCAATTTGTATTTTATTACCTGCATCTCCCCATGTCCAGACTGCACACCAGCCTCGTTTTTCATAGAGTATGTTATATCTTAATCATAAGATGCAGACTGCTTTTATTATTAAATGCCATTCTCTACCTGCTAGACTACATGCTTCACAAGGACAAGTAATATTTGCCCTTTTTCTTTCTTGATGTATTGCAAATATCTATTGAGAATAATTTATTTTTCTTAAAGGTTGAACTCTATAAAGTGTTTTAGAGTACCTGTGTGACTTTTTTCCTAAGAACTCAGAACATTCATTTCTTATGTCTATCATTAGTTACTGAACAAATTTCACAACCTATTTTCCATTTAAATATTGAAAAAAGAGTTTTATTTTAGTCCTTATTATTAACTTTAAAATGTTTCTATATTACTGTTCCCTTTATGCTTATCTCTCCCTATGTCAATATAGAAAATATGATTCATTAGATTTTTTTCATTCAGAATTTTGAATTTGCTTTTTCCTAATGTGTTTTTCACAAAAATATATTTTTATTTTAAAGATCTAGAGTTAGTGTTACAATTTTTTTATATCACAAACAAAGGCATTTGGAATAAATCTATGCTCAGAAGGAAAATACCCTTATATTCAATCTTACATTCTAGTGATGAAATTTCACATCTCTGATGGGTTCAAATCCATGGTGTTTCCACCTCGAAATACTGTTATTCTCCATGATTCCGCCAATCTAAAGGTCTTTTCTATTTCTCCTGGCTGTGTTAAAATAAGTCATTATTAAACTATTCCTATTCCATCCATAATGTCTTCTCAAGTTTATGAATTTTGATATTCAATTTTTATCCTTTATGTCAGGAGTTCGAAGCCAGCCTGGGCTACAGAGCCAGCCTGAACTACAGAGTGAGACCCTGTCTCAAAACAAACAAACAACAACAAAAAAAGTCATAGATGTACTAGCTAATAAATAATGTAGAATAAATAAGTAAATAAAATATTTCATTACCATATTTGCAAGATTAATATGGATAGTTATGCTAAATGAAAAACATAAAACTAAGACATAATGAAAAGAATTAAATTGTATATTGTCAGATTTCAATAGTAAAGAAAATATGTGATATAAGTCTAGTACCACAAGTACTGAAATCTGAAGACAATATCTATACCTTAATCCTATTGGAAAAAATACAACTCCTCCCAAAAAGTTCAGTCAGTGTTCCCATTTGTGATTAAATTTTCTTTCTGTTCCAAGGACAGCATGATACACTCTAAAGAGAAAGGAGACCACTGTGCTTCAGGGAATACGTCAGTCGTATTCCAATGGAAGCAAGGGCTTTTAGGGTTCATAAAGAACAGGAATGTCTTATACTTATTTTAAGTATTTTGAAGTGTTGCACTGCTTTGTAACATCCTCAGCCCACAATGCAAAAGCTGAAGTCGCCTTGCACTGAACATTTCTTGAATGAGTCGTTATTAAGAATATTAGATGTAGATAATTTAGTGAACACTAAATTTCCTTTTCAGTTTTCTCTATTTAACTAAAAGGACAAAAGGAGCAAAGCCAAATGAGCAAAGGTTTTGCAATTTCTGTCACGTACTTTTCTGACTCTTGCAGTCTTCGGACTGGGAATCCAGGTGGCTGGAGAGCGAGTGCTGAGGGGTGAAGGTGGACATGCACAGGACAGGAAGGACAGCTTCTTCCCAGCTCCTCAGTGTCTCCTGGCTCCATCCTCATAAAGGCACGTGCGTTGGTGCCTCTTTCTTCTCTGGATCTTTTTAAATAGTTAATTTTGTGGCATTCTTCAGAGCATGTCTGTGTATTTCTACGTTCTGCAAGGATGGCTTTTGCTATTATAAAATTCTGATTTGATATAGGATAAAATGAGGAATAAAATGAGGAATACCATCTATTGGGAAAGCCTTCACCAGTTGAAGTAAGCCACAAATAAATGCAATGGAAATAAACATTCAAGACTGAAATCTAAATACAAGAGGAGAATTCCCACATATAGGCGGGCAATAAACATAAGAACACAACAAAAATGCGATCTAAGTACAGAGCCAACTCCTCCTCCTCCTCCTCCTCCTCCTCCTCCTCCTCACTTTATAACCTAAAGTTGCATAACTGGAGCAGGTCACAAACACGATGTGGACCCAGCCTCAGCACCCAGGATGGGGCTTAGTCCACTGTTTGAGGTTGATGGTTAGAAAGATCGAGCTTTTTCTGCTGCCTTTGTGACATAGTGTGGCGTGAGAGAGATTAAGGAGCCAGGTTGGGGCCAGACGCACACCCAGCTCTGTTGCAGTCGGCGGTGTGACAGCGAACTCTCCCTCTTGTCTCTGTTTCTTCACCTGTAAAAGGACCCAAGTGGTGTCCTTTGCGTACCTTGTGGGTCTTTGCACGTTGTTCATGAACAGAGCAGTACTTACCGCACAATACGAACACCTTCCATTCCTGTGCCAGATGATGTTAGACTTGGTGACCGCTCACAGGAACTTACTCTTTCACAGGCTGTGACTCTCGAATTAAGTACAGTAATGCTGGACTTTCTCTGGATGCTGTTGGGGAAACCTGTTCCCTATCCCTTCTATCTTCGGATGCCACCCAGCTTTCTTGAGCCTGCACTCACATCCCTCCAGTCTCTACCTCTGTTCTCACATCGCTTCCTTCTGTATCTCTGTGCAAAGTTCAGGCTGGCCTTGAACTCACTGTGCAGTCCAGGCTGGCCCCAAACTCAGGGCTATCTTCCTGCTTCAGCCTCCAGAGTGCTGGGCCTCAGGTGTGTGCCATCATGTCCTGTATGTGCCTCTATCTCACTAGAACAACTTTCCGAGCGTTGAGGATCACTGGGATCCGAGGGAGGCTTCGGACTAGAGTGGTGCCTGACCACACAGGAGTGCGGTCCCTCGGAAGCCAACAGCTGGCCTGAGTGAGTGTTCCAGTTTCACCTCTACTGCCTTTGTGACAACTCTGGTTCCCCAGAGTGGGTACTGACGCAGGTCGTGTGGGCGATTAGAGCGGATAAGGACAGAGGGAGTCCACGCCATGTGGCTGCTCTCTGTGGGATGTGATTGTTGTACTCTTTTTGCAGAAACACAAAGCTCTTCTGAGAACCAGCCTTCTCGGTTACATGCAGCTTCAGATCACCCACTACAGTACGGGCCCTCTTTTTATAGGTACTTTTTATTCCTTAGCAATGGGATTCATCTCAGCAAATGCCAGGCAGCAGGCTAATGCTTATGTTTCATAAAGGAGGTAAACATTGACGCTCCAGAATCACTGATCCAAAAGCTAAGACGTTGCAGAGAAATTCCTGATATTATTGCACAGGCTCCAGCCTCTGTGAAAGTCTATGTAGCTGACGCTTTACAGATTGAGAGCAAACACAAACTTTAGCAATCACTTCAGTATACCCTTTGACATGTGATAGGGGGATGCACCTTGAGACCGTAATATTTAGTGAAATAAACCAGACACAGAAGCTTAAATATCGCATGCACTCTCCAGTGTGAGAAACCCAAAGTATAAATAAAGAGCAAAATTAAGGATAGACAACCGGAAGCAGGGAGGCAGATCTTTTGCAAAAGGAAAGGAGAGCAAGACAGGGGGGTGGATTAAGATGTACCGTGCACATGGACCGACGCCTCCTGAGGACTGTGACCTGGACTAAGGATAGACTAAAAATAAACATACTTAACCCTCATCAAGAAACATGACACACCACAACAGCCCTAGGAGCAAAACAACTCTTTACATATAAATTAATTATCTACAAAAATAAAAATGTCACATACATTTTAAGCAGAGCAATAACCCTAAAAAATTGTGTTCAGAAAATTGATGCACCTTGGAACCTAATATCAAGTGAAAGAAATCAGACAGACATGCTTAAAGATCACACAGTTTCTGTTGTATGAGAAACACAAATCATAAAAGAAGAGCAAAATAAAACAGGTAACAGGAGCAGGGAGACAGCTCTTACTCCATGGGAAGGGAATCAAGCTTTGGAAGGAAGATGGACAGAGGGGATAAAAGAGAATGCAGATGTATTACGCACAGATGCTATCTCCCTACAGTAGACATAACCGTTATCTATGGCAAACATGTATTTAAAACGTATCAGTGGTACACATACCAATTCACACGGAACATGTAAACACTATGTACTGAAATACATGCTAATAAAACAAACAAAAATTAAACACTCTCCCTGTTCTCAAGGCACCTATGATTTAATTAGGAGATACATATCTAAGCAAATTATTAAAGTGTGGCAAAAAATTATATGCAACTTGCATGGTCCTAGATTTTTCAAAGCTCTAAGTGTGGGCAATTTTTACTAAAATAAGGTGAACGCTGAACCCTGGTTCGAGAGAATATAAGCACATTTAATATATAATTTTTTAAATTACCTCTAATTCCATTTCAACTTGAGTTGTTGGACCTCATTCCCAGATTAGATTAGTGACGATCTCTTGAAGCATGACACAGTCATGAGAACTCACTGAAGAACTTTATTTTCGGGCCGGGACCCATGTACACTCCAACCAAGTTGGAGGACAAAAGGCCCCTACTGAAATGAGGACTGCATATTTAAAGGGAAAACCCACAGAAAAAGTCCCTCCTCCCATTCCCCTGGGTTACGGATTGTTGCAGAAGCTGGTTACAGAAGCCAGGATAGGCACAGTTAGTTCCTCCCATTCCCCTGGGTAAGGTTTGTTGCAGATCACCTGAAACACAGTTTCTGTTTATTTTACCTTGTGGTTACATGCATGGGTGAGGGGTGGGGTTTTCTCCCCGGGGACAGAGTGCAGCTGGAAGTCACACATTTCCAAAATGGAGGAGAACGCTCTCAACATGGTGCTGGCATTGCTAAGTTGGGTCTCACAGAGTCATCATTTTTGTAAATAATTATTAATACTACAAAATCTGTATAGACACCCAAACTGCACTTCTAAGGAATTTGTTGAATTCCTACCATGAAACTACATTTTGCATCCACTGTGTTGAATTTCTGAATTTATTTAATAGACTTTACTTTTTATTGGTAATATTTTAGTTACCTACAGGGTGAAATGGAGGTACTGTCTGTATTTAATAAATTGGTAAACTGGAAAATTATCACCCCAGGAGAAGTGTTTCTATTTTTCCTTGTCTTGGACACTGTCTTAGAATGCCACGTGCTGCTCTAACTGAAAACCCGTTCCTTTAGGGCCAAATGTGTGACACCTTCAGTGTACTTGTCCGTATCCGAACAACTGTGATCTTTCTGAACAGGTAAGGCTGCTCCACACATACTTTAACACCACTGAAACCGAACTCCGTGTTCGGCCCACAGTGCAAGGTGCATTAATTTTCCGGGAAGATTCCCGGTAGCCGGGTCGCGCATGGCGATCCGCGCAGTGCTTGCCTGGTCCGCGGCTGTGCCCGGCTCCGGGCGGTGAACCAGCCACGGCCCCCGCGGCTTCTGACCTGTGCGCTGGGTCCTTCGTGGGCGAAGTGAGCCTCAGCAGTGTCGCAAAGCTTAGGAGTGGGAGACGGGCTCCGTCCACATCCTTCCCGCTCAGAGGACGCCTTCCCCTTCCGAGCTGAGCTGTCCCCCAGCCGCCCCGATTAGAGGGACGGGTGGGCTCTTGGGGCTGAGAGCGGGCGGTGCCAGCCCCTTCCCGCAGGTGGCTGCTCAGTGGGGGGGGGGGCGAGGGGGGCAGGTGTCGGGGCGTGGGGGGGGGGGGCCGGGGCGGGAGGGTCTCTGCGGG